AAATTGAATACAGATGGAAGGAACGATAGAATTCGAATTGAAAATGACGATTTTGACGAGAAAATGACAGAATGAAATATTCCAGGAAATACATGTAATAGCGATCGCATCATCGAACATTCCATAAAACGCAACAGAAACGCCCGTGTTCCCGATCCAGTTGGAAAATTATCCGACGTGGTGAAATGATACGGCATCGCGATTTGCGTAATGTTCGAATACTGTTTTACGGATTATTATAACAATCGTTTCAAGAGTTTAAATGGATCGGTGCAGCCTCCCAATCTCGGAGTCCATGTGCCTGACAACGAGAAATTTGTATCGATTATTGTGTTAAATTCAATGAAAGTCCAGAATTATCATCGCGAAATCTACAAATAAAATGATTTATACGCATTTCATTAGGCGATGCGTTACATGCTTTATTAATCGAATTTTTTTATGACGAATTGAAGCACTTTAAATAAAATGTTATAACTATTTAGAATGAATTAATAGATCGACAATTTAATAATTGACAATTTAAGTGTAAATGTATTCTAAGATCATTTAATTTACATTATTTAATCATTAATTGTTTTATATAATAAATTTTACCTACAAACGATCTCTTTTTAAAACGTTTTACAAGGCAAGTGATATCTGTCAACGACATGGGAAGTTTCATACAGACGTAAAATAATACTTCTACGTTAAAATAGGTCATGTTTTATGCAACATTTACTTTTTCCTTACGCAAAACGTCAATTAACAATAGTTTACATTAAGATGAATTTTTACACTGAAAGTGTGTACGACGTGATTCCTGTTTGCACATTTTGAAACGAAATGGCTCCGAATGTAAAGGGTTAAGATGTTGATGCGACGTTAAAATTATAAAAAGAAAAAGAATGACTAAATAATTAAACATTTGTCAGCGATCATTTTTCTAACTATATTTTCTATTTAGTCGCAAAGAGAACGTAGTTTTCCCTAAATAATTTAACGTTCCTGTAAATTTCTCCACCTGAATTGATTTTAAAATCTCAAGCTCGGCACAATGCACTGTTCAACGCAACAATTAAATATTCTACATTCGCGGTGAATTTTCGTGTTCCAATTCTTTATAATTTCGTTGCGTCACTGCGTGTTTCTTTTTTAACCATTATGTACCATGTTACTTATTTTTCCCTCTACTGTTTCATCAAAAATAGTACAGGTGAGTACGCAATACTGCCGCGCACGTGACATCAATTTCACGTGATTTTAGTTTTTTTTTTTATTTGCATTCTGTGCACGGTACATCACCGGTAGCGAAATAAAGAACGCTTTGTCAGGTTGGAAATCTATTAGACACCTATCGTTGAGCTATTTTGTTCGACACCTTAAACTGTGAACGGTAATATATTACTTCGTACACGGTAGCTTTCGCACGACTCTAATTTCCGGTTAAATTCTGCAGGAAATAATAAATTTTAAGATCGACCGGCGAGTTCGTATTTAGATCACTGCGACGTATGTGTGAAAAACGTTTTAAATACAAGACGGACCAGTGCGTACAGAGATTGGGTAATAATTTCAAGTCCAGTAAATATTTACAATCGCAAGATTGCCGTTGCAAGGCGCTGTTAGTCCTTTCATTAGTAATGAAGTTTTACAAACGTATGCCATATTTATTATTAGATAATTATATTTTCGATTCAATATTATAATAGTTTTTTGAATGTCGATTATTGGCAGAAAACGTAGAAGATATCTAAATTATAAAAATTCACTAGGAAGTACATTTAGTACATGGTTAGTCCATAAATCGAATGTTTTATTCGCGAATATATGAATATAAAAGTATTGATTACTTTTTTTCATGTAAAATTGCATGTCACTTTATGTGTGGCCGTGAAAACTTCGAAAGGACGAATTTTCAAAACAACGGAAAAGCTTCTGTATGGTATTTGGACGACTGAAACATTTATTCCTCATATTGAATTTCTATTGTTAAATATTTTCTGTTCCAACAGAGAAATATCAAAAGCCCATCACGGAAATATTATTAAAACATCACGCATAAAATGTAACATTGTGTATAAGAGTTTCGAAAATAATTGTCATTTCCAAACATTTTTTAAGATTGATTATTAATCTGATCAAGTTTTGCAAAAATTTCAATTTGAATTATTCATACAATCAAATGTAAATTAATTTCTAAAATCTGTAAATTAAATTGTGTGCACTGTACGAGTCCGTTTATGATTACATGGTTGGCTATGTGAATTTAAGTGAACGTAATATATTGTTACCGTAATGTTACAGTATCAAATTCGTTAACATGAATTTTAAATAATTGTGCTATTAATTTAAGCTCTCTAAAATAATTTGAACTTGTTGGTTACAAATAGAATCTGGATTTTTATGCAAATTCATATTTTTACATCCTCGTAGATTTCCCCGTGTTTTTATTTTCCATAAATGCATAAAGTAAAAGATATTATTGACACAAAAATTGTTGATGGTACAATAAAATAGACGTGATTACCTCGAACTAGGAAGTTTATACTTGAACGTAGCGAATTCATTTTTGCCATTTTTTATATCTTTATCTACTCAGCCATCCTACTCTTCACCTGGTTGAAATGATACCAATGAAATATACCAATGTGCCATATTAAAGATACGTTAACGCGCAAATACTAATAATTAAAAAATGTACGTCTCGGCAAAGTTAATATTAAAAATGCCTTGTGAAGATAATCAATTTCATCTTTATATTTTCATGTAAGTACAGCACGGAAACCCAATCTCATACGTACACAAATGATGATCGTATAAGTACACTCGGCGTAAGGAAACCTATTAATATATACCGTGTATACATATAGTATAGCCTCAGGTGCGCCAATTTCTGCGCGGCATTATCAACTCTCTGTTACGCTAAATTCTGAAGCATACTTGCTACGATTTCGGAAGCATAGCCGGGTAATAAACAATTAGAAGAGATAAGGAAACGTAACTGAAACTACCTAACAACTTATACGGTCCAACGAACTGCGTAATTCACGAAAGGAGTGTCCTATGAAGTTGTACTTTGAAGTTGGGAGTAGAATAAATTAACTATGATTGATAGAGTACGCGAGTACACAATGTAATGTTTCTAACTGCATTGTGAGAGTTATTACGAAACGGAATTGCTTTGAAAAGTAAAATGAAAATTCCGATGCTTTGCACATCGAATAACAAAATTACACGACAGAAATTCGTTAAGAGCCCGATCGGTACGAAATGGAATTTATTTATGTAGACTGTAATAGTGTATAATGGTAAAAATGTTTCTTCAGTGAAGGTAGAAAAGGAATAAATAGAAGAAAATTGATTGATTTAAGAAATAGTTAATGCAGCATGTACCGAATCCTCTTTAAATCCCGTTCTTTGAAGTGATTCTTAGACGCCTCCATTTTTTTTTTTTTTTTTTTTTAATTCCATGAACAGTAATTCCACTATTCAACATTATGTAATTCTTGTGTCATGTGTATGACTAATGCTCCAATAAAATTAATTTTATCCTGACCTTTTCGATTTCACTAATAGAAAAAACAAATTAAATGTTCTATGTAAATGAACACGATGTTGCCTTGAGCTTTCATTGAGTTTAATCTACGTCCCCGTTAAATTAATATCGAGCAAAATTAATTAGTTGCCGCTTCGATAAATTAATACGCGACGGACTGTAAAACCGTACACGGTGTTTCTACGCCCCGTTCATTGCGTCATATTATATACAGTTTACGAGCAATAAACGCAGAGATGCATCCTTCATTCATTGGCTCGATCCGTCTGAAGGCATATCTTACAAGCTAATTAGTCGTAATGCTACTCGACTGGTAGCAAAGATAAATTAATGTCTTGAAACCAAGTTCCCGTTCTCCCTCCTACTTTTCATCATTTTTTTATTAACACGCCTGGTGTTGATTACGTGAAGATAAGGTGGATAATCTTGTTCAACAAATATTCTCTTCCTGGAACCTTTCTTCGTAAACTGTTCATTTCAAGAAAGAGGAATATCTTAAAAAAAAAAAAAAAAAATAATACTTAAATAGTAATACTTAAGTTTCTTTAGACACGATAACTTCCAAGCCGATTATACGAAACTTTCGACTGTTATTTTACGTCTCTTCTGATTTTTTCCGTTTCATTTATTAAACGCTATTCGTCAATGATTGCGTGCATTTACATTGCTTTAACATGCAGTACAATAAAGTCTCAAGTTATTCCCACTTATATCCTTATGTATTGTCCTCTACGCTTATGTATTTGTATTTTAAATATCTTTTCCTCAATAATTTCTGTTTGTATATGAATTGATATGTACATAAACCTGTTTGTTTTCAATTAACCTTACGAATTTTTATACAAATATTTAAAAATCATATACATCATACATACATTACATACCTATTTTATTTCGTCATATATTGAACTTCATCATCGTATCTTTTAAATGAATAATATAACAACAATTTCGTTTACGTCACAGTATAGAGCCCGTTGTATCCTGCAATTTACATGTAAACAATATTTTCGTATCATCGATAGTTATTGCTTTAATTTTTCTTCGTCGCCACCGACTCACTCGGACATCGGTCGACGTGTTCAATAGTTATTGAAATATGCGTTTGTTAAACTTTAGCGTGGACACCCTGTATAGGTATATCTACGAGTATATGCTTTCCTCTCTTACCACTTGACCGCGTCTCTCCGGAGACGAATCTATCCATCGAACCTCTAGAAGTCTTTGTACCTCGCTTTGAAGAGGATTCGACAATTCCAGAAAGTAACGAGATCAACCACACGTCTCATAGAAAATTTTCGCGCCTTTTAGACAGGGCTAAGTATGAGAAAGCCGGAGGGGGAACGGGTGGTCGACTGCCTGATGGCCGAACGAATAAACACCGACTAACGGCTAGTGAACAGCACAACAAGATAAATGGGCAGTTTAAAGGTAAACGGATGTGCTTTTTGCGACTCACATGGGAAGCTGACCGGAGGATGACTCTGGGCATTGTGCGCGTTATGAAGGTGTCTCGGAGTCGCGACGCGTTGCCTGCAGAAGCACAAAACACCCGCCGTGACCAGGCCCGCTACGCTCAGGATCAGAAAAACGAGGGCGACCGCGAACCAGGTCGTCTGCATGCCCAGGATCGTCGACACCTCGGAGTCTGGAACAGAGAAGAAAACGGGAAAAGGAAAAACATTGTCAGCTGCGGTGGTCTTTCAACGCTTATCAGCAGGCGCCCGGTTTTTTGGCGATCTCGTGCATCGCGGTGCACCGTCGCGCGTACCTTCCTCGTGGAATTGAAAAATTAACGAGTGGTTGAAGAACGACGCGCCGTTTTTTCCTTCCGTCACTTGCAGAATGCATTGTTCGCCGTCTTTTTACTTCTTCGCGCAAAGCGTTTCACGATTTTTACCCGATGGTGCCTGTCGCTGATTGAGAAGCGAGAGGATGTCGTTGCGGAGGTTATTAACTGCTGTTGCAACAAACATTTTTGTGATCTTATCTTTATGGAAAATATCCAACATGAGCCTCTTTGATTTCGTTGCGAATTATTAACCTTTTGACCGCGAAGAGCGTATCACCCGCATCTCTAAGTACAGTAAATGTAAATTAGCACTACCTGTATTCTGTGAGTCGAAACCTATCTGGAGTACGGTATAAATTCAATTCATAAACGTGCATCCCATCGAAAGCCACACGAATTTGTTTCGTTGGTTGGTTCAATTATGGCATGCATAGCGTAAGCTTTTTAACTGTTGCTATGATATAACGGTAGATCGTAGCGTTTCGTGCACGGAAACGGAACATTTGATTTGTTACGCAGTAAAATTTAATCTTGACTTTTGGGTAACATTAAAACCGCGCAGTAGGTTTACAACCCCGGAAAGTAATATATTTGAACATTTTATATAATTCTGACGCGATGTGACGTTTTCATAGCACACTGGTGAAAATATCGTTGGTCTGCTAAAGAGGTCAGGTGTGCGGATGGCAAAAACTTCGTAACGACGATATTGGATGAGTACCTCAATTTGAATATGAAACTTAATAATTCATGCATAACGTTACGGTCTTGAGTACAATTCCAGTGGTCCAGATTAAACATTCAGTCATTTCGCTGGTATTGTATGGCTTATATTTCATGTAAATCGATTATATTTTCAATACTTTATGAATACTTATTTACTGTAAAGCGAATGGAACATTTCATATAAACCTATGAACCATAAAATAATGTAAAAATACGAAAAAGAAAGCGAATTAGTGAGGTATAATATAACGAAGGCCAAATTTTAGAAGCTTACAATTAGCGAAGTAAAGACAAAGAATTTATATAAAGACTTTCTTCGGAAAGAAAGATTTCATTCTTTCTTTTTTTTTTTCATCGCGTGTTTTATCATGGAGGTGTATGCGCACAATGGCATCACGAAACTTTTGTTCCTTTACGATATTTAAACCAACTACTGAATGGACTGTTGGATAAGCGTTCCAGCGTTCTTTCTTCCGGCAGAGAAATTTTATTTAAATTCTTAGCTTTCAAATTTCTTAGCCTTTATTCGAATAGTTGCAAGTGTTTTACATTTCTCTATACTGCTTCACCAATTTGCCTTCATCTTAATAATTCTATAGTATTTCATGATTCGCGAACCCGAGAATAGTTTTGTCTATCTAAATATAACGGATATTAAGTGGAAAACTTTTGTAAATGCATGACCCGATAGCTTCCCAATTAATGAATGTCAATCTGTCCAATCATAAATGGAACTTCACGAGTTTGTTTTTAAGTAATACTACGACGGACACTTAGACAACATCATCTTCTACCTTCAGTCGTCACCATGTGTGCTTTTATTTAAAATAAACACGTAGGATATGTTCTCTTGTCCAACTATGTAATTATTTTCTTCGATAAAAGTGGTATTGATGCGTTGTACAAAATATTGTGATATACTTTAGAAGGATAATATTGGTTCGTCTCTGTTTGGAAAACTTACAGGTGCGATGGAGTATTGAAATTAATGAACGGTGGTGCATTTGGAAGAGCCTCTACTTCTTCAAGTAAATTAGTGTTAGAATTTAATCAAAGAAAAACTCGAATGATTATCGGGGCGCATATTTTCGAATCATCATTTAAGAAACTGTTGAAAGTAATCCAAGAACGGCAAGATGGCGCAGAGAAACGCGTAGATCCCATAAATATACCACGAATGCTGGCAAGCGCAGTAATACATATTTGCAAGTTAAAATGTTATCTCGCACGAAGGATAATCTTGCCGCAACAGCGTTTTGCTTGAAACGCTCCAGGCTTTGCATAGTAATAGCATTTCTTTGATTCGTTTACTCCCGGGCAGCGCGTCGAAATAGATACCTTAATTTCACATCTCTAGAAATTGAAATTGGATTCGCATGTTATATTGCAGTCCGCTAGGAACTTTGAAAGTTTCCATGAAATTCCTAGTAGCGATTAAACAAGGTACGCTAAGAGATTCATCGTCGCATTTTGTCAGCTTGGAAAACAAAACAAAATACTACAGGAGTGTCACTACGAAAACTAAGGCACGGAGAGATTCGAACATCCACGATCTCCGAATCCACAGTCGACCGCTTTTCCTGCAATTTTTGTTTCTTTTTTCATTTTTGTAAAGAAGTTTGTTAGATTGCAGATCGTACATTCAGGTATCGTTTTCGGTCCTAAACGAACTTAATGATAAAAATGACCACAGATAATCGTAAGAGTAAATTTCTAGTTGATCGTGCGCGTACGATTCTCTTAGAAAAACGACAATTGTATAATACTACTCAGTCTTTGTCAAGTCGAAGCTTGGTTTTACTTATGGGAAAATTGAGAGTAAAAACAGCCCAAAAAAACCCATACAGCATTAAAAAAAAAAAAAAAGACGAAAGAAGGTACTATTTACAACAGAGTATTTAAAGTAGAGCACTTAAGCTTTTCCTACACGACCAATTCCGCACCGCATGATCCGTGATCTTGTTTGACTCCTTATTCTTGGCTATGGAGGCCCAAGCTTGGCCATCCTGAAATTGACATTAGCCCTCGAATATCCGTCTTTTCGGTTTCTCTCTCCTTGTCTTTAACATCTTTAATCGTCGTCTTTTGGGAGTCTTACTCCGACAACATTATCAGGTTCCATGCTTGAATAACTATTTTCTTCCTTAACTTTTGTCAGTAAGTGTACATTAATTTACTTCTTACTCCATTTCTTGGAAGTTCCACGTCGGTGAGCCCACGCTACGGACCCAAACAAACCGTCAAATTACAGAATTGAATTCCATGAGCATTCAGACGTAACAAGAGCTTCCATTAACAGAATTAAGCTACAAGCCGTTAAGTTTCAGACAAATTGCACGCCTACGTTTGTTTCTAGCGCTGTACTTAATTATCTTGGAACACAGCCCCAGATCTCCACCCTAAAGAACGATTTTGTTCGTGCGTTTCGTACAACTGCATACAGATGTTATTCTCGCGATTCGTGAACGGTAACGTCCTTATCAATGTAGCTATTTATGCTACGACGACGCGGTTCCTTTTCTAACGGCTAGCTAGACGGACTCGATTAAAATAGCAATGGCGGCTCAACTACCTGCCAGATGTCAAGTAAACTGACAACGAAAGAGAATTAATTCCCCGGGGCGTCGTACAATGTGTTCTGCCGCGCAGCCAGCACAGAAACCGAGCTCTGAGACGTGCACGCAGTTTCGTTGAATCGGGAGATCGATAGAGCGCGGCATACTTTGCTTTTTATCATTAGAGGCCGCGACATGCTACCGTATCGCAAAAACGACGAAAAGTTCAACAGAGACACGGTGCTTCAGCTACACCGCGGTTACGCGACGCTTGAGCGAAGTACAGGGGAAATCAGAACAAAACGAAACGTATCAAATTTAATGACACGCGATAGTCACGACGAGCAAGGTTGGTAGGTCCTGAGTTTTTCATATTTTCTTTCGAATTTCCCAAAAAATTACATATTTCGCCATTACAATGGATCAAATGTAATTGACGGTTACTTGGAATATCTGTTTGTATGTGCAGAAAGTGAAAATTTTCAAAAATGTCTCAGAACAATCATAACAGTGATACAGCAAGGTTATTTATTACACCCAGATACTTTTTTTAACACTGGTGTTTAATACGTTCCTCAGAAATTATTGTTAAAAAGAAAGTGCATAGAAAGATAAGTTTTCTATAGTGAAATTGGGAATACGTTTCGTGGCTTGTCTTTCACGTATCTTTGAAGCTTTTTGGATTTGTTTGACGCATTATTACCAAAGACTGGTATTTTTATTAGATCACTCATAGTCACGTACAGTATGACAAAAAAAAAAAAATATTTCCAGCAAGATAATGATTGCACCGCCACAAAAAAAGAAAAGAATGAATCTTATATATATCGTGGCTAAACAAGTAATTACTCCACTATTCCATTACTCAATCATCTGATGTAAATCCTATAGAAAATTTGTGGCATATTTTAGACTTGCAGATCAGAAAAAGAAAAATATCGAATAAAAATGATAAAAGTTGCTCTTATCAAGGAATGGTCGGAAATTTCAGCCGATATCACAAAAAAACTTCTAGGGTCAATTCCAAGACGATTACAAGCGATCGTTGAGGCTAAAAGAACGATTACAAAATATTAAAAATATATTTTGTAATCATAACTGTGAAAAAATATCGATGTGTTTGCGAAGACTTTCTTGACTACGAAATTTTTGTTTTCTTTAAATTATTTTCGAACGGTAGATTATTAATATTTCTAGGTCAACGTATTTTTCCTGTCTATAACGAAGCATTAAAACACGTACGTTATATCAAAGCATTATCTCTTTACAAACAGTTATTCTCAAAAAACTGTGCGTGCGAATAATTTTTTGATCCGGTATATTATTAATTTTAAAACAATGATTTTGAAATCGTGGTGGATGAAATAAAGTTGACAAAAAAGAAAGACTTTTTTGAATATAGGTCGCGACACCTTGCGACCTCTTTTTGTCAATCGCCGATCGGTCGGTAATCATGCATATTATCGATCGTCTATCAAATGCGTTTAAAAAAAGTTGTTTTTAAGGGATGACTTTGATTTTATATTTAGTTTGACTGCGATAGATTCGAAGGTTTTCAAAGCTCCCACGAAATCAAATCTTTCGTCATTGTAATGGTCTTAATATAGTTTACCGCTGACAAAGTAAAGAATTTGTGACAAAGTAAACAATTTAAGATTCAGCGACACGTGGCAATTATACCACTGACAGAAGAAAATTATCGTACTTCTTATATAAAATTACGTAAAATACGATATGTATCCTTTTCAGCTTTTTCTTAAGTTCCGTTCTGAATTCTTTTCTACTAAATGGATTACCTGAAGCTCATATCTAAATGCACCCATTAACGCAACAAAATGTCTAATTCTGACTATATCATTTCTGAAATCCCTGGAGACGAGGCTAACATTCTGCCCGCCACTATGAGACGTAAGTTCGATTACAAAGTCAATTTGCCCGCGGCGTATTTGGTTTGAAATATGAATGTAGCCTCGCTCCTGAAGGGGGTAGGAGTTCTCGTAAATGAATCGCTGGTAATTAGAACTTACTGGCACAGAGGGTGGAGGTAGCCTCGTCAGAACCGTCGCCGCAGTGATTCACACCGTCACAAATGAGGTCCGTCTCGATGCAGAATTCGTTCTGGGTGCACCGGAAGTCCTTGCAGCTGTGCTCTGGAAAAGGAAAGAAAAAATTCGGTGCTGAGAGGCGGCACAATAGGGGAGCGAAGACTGAAAAAGTATCGCGGACAAGTGCATTAGCCTTGCGAAGGGGTTACGCACCCCTCGAGTCGAGGGCTCTCCTCGACAGGTGTCGAGGCTTCAACGACAGTCTAGTTTCGAAACACGTGGCGCACTTTTCGGCTACGAATTCCCCAGGCAATTTTCATCCGATTCGTAGAAGAGTTTAAATCCTTCAAACCTACTCCGTCGTTTCTCCTTTCATTCCACACCTGCTTAGTTTTCGAGGCAGGCTTCGATGTGAACATTGATACCAAACGATGAAAATTGTGAAAAATAAATTTAGTCGTACGATTTTCTTTCCGTTTGTTTCATCTGACCAATGAAATGTATAAATGTCTATGTATAAAGAAAGATTGTATTTAATATGTACGCAATAATTTGATAGAAAGCAAAATGTTACTCGTTTGATAATTCGTACCATTATTGATGGCAGTGTTGGGCATTAAGCAATTACATTTTTAATCAGTGAATCGATCAATTGAAAATTTAATTTGCAATGTATTTCGCTGCGATTGAAGGTTCATTATAATTGATAATTGTATCGTCGATGATAATTACATTCAGTTATAATTAACCGTCAATTGGAACAAAATTCAATTGCAACCGATCAATTTCTTTAAATTGTAATTAATAATAATTAACTAATTAACACTCCCTTTCAAAGCTGTTTAATTTTTCAAAGTTCAATTATATTTATCGTAGAATAACACGTTTGGATTTCTCAATTTTTAGTCACTTCTTATACATACATCAAAAACTACTATCGGTGCCATAAAGTAAGTAATCTGCAATAAATTATCCAACAACAGTACAAAAAAAAAATATATCGTATATAGTATTTAACATTTAATCTGCTTATTACCTTTGAAACATGAGGTTTGCTCTTACAATGGAAATATAGAAAACCTCTCTAGATGGAAAGCCTCGTGAAACGTTTAATTACCGAAGAAGACCTATAAAATACGCACTGGGCAACTGGATAGCCAGCATATAATTACCAATGATTTATAATTCATAATCGATTTACGCTATGTGATCACATATGAATCGAAATATCCTACCTATATACACCTATGTACCTATATACCATAGTTCGTAAATTAGAGTAAATTACCCGAATTACAACGTCATGATTAATCGTATAGCGCAGAGAACTGGCCAATAAAGAACAAATTTGATTATAATAGCTGAGGCTACACTGCAAGTCCATTAATTACGCGAACCTGCACTTCGATACCAACATCTGTCTTGCTGCAGTTCCGTTTAATACGAATGATTATTTCTGATGATCTGATTCCATCGGAGAAAATTAATTGATCGAAAGTGCATAATTTCTCTAATTATCCCAATACGTTAGGATTGATTTCAATATATGCAACATCATTAATATTAACGAATAATTTGGATAACTAGTTCGATAACGCCAATGGCGACAATTCCATAGTGTCGATAATCAAATTAATTTCGCAACGTACCAGATCTCATTATCGACGTCTTGTTTCTCTTTCCGTGAGAAAAAAATGTGTGTTGAATCAGATATTCGTCTAACAAGAAACCATCTTTAATTACGCAGGTAACCAATTTTGAAACGTAAAAAGAATATACGATTATTTTACATTATATCAATTTACTCTATACCCATTTCAACATTTAATAAATATTATAAAAGAAAGTAATACGAGACTTTTCCCATTACGAAAGATTTCTCACTCCCTGTCTAGATCAACGATCCACTGAATTTACTTTCCTCCTGTGAGGAATTCACTTTAAAACGAAGAATATACGCTGGCCAATTATTCTTGATGGAAAAGCACGCGGATGATAGGAGCTATAACTTTGGTCGATCATAACAAAGTAGTCGATGAAGGAACGCGGCGAAACGGGGGGGGGGGGAGAGGGTAACGATTCCTTTTGTTCCCCCGTTCGTAGTTGTAACTTCCGGGGGACGGGCAGAGGGGTTGTCCGGAATCGAAGGTAATAAAACGAGAAACGGAGGGTTAAAGGATTGGCGCGAGAGAAATGGCTCGTTGGAAGCCAAAGAAAAAGCAGAAACCATCGCGACGGCCGGGGGAAGCGTAATTTTCTATAATTTAATAGTTGAAATTCTTTTCGCCTTTATCTTTCCCGTTCTCCCTACCATTCAGCCAGATTCGGAAGATTCACGGGATGAAGGAGCAGAGAAGCAGTGTGTTTCATCGTGGTTAAAAACGGACGAGACGGTCTACAAATCTTGTACACTATCACTGGAATGAAATTATTTGTAGCGAGTGGACCTCTCGGTGATATTATTTTTGGAACTGTCGTGTCGAAAATTGATATATGGAGCTCTGAGATCAAAAATAGAAGTTCAGAATTGCATTAGTTACGTGCTTTATCGTAAAATATTTATAAAAACTATCGCCTTAATATGGGGATCCGTTCAACGACATGCATGTAAATTTTAACACAAATGTAACACATGTTCAGGAAAATATAATATTAGTTTGTGTGTACAGGCATATCATTCTATTTATATATTAATTCGAAGCTGTCAGTTTTTGTACGGTAAATTTTATTGGATAGAATAATATCTGGCCAATATTTAAACAAAGTAACCCTTAATTAATGACAAGTTTAAGGGATTAGTTGAGAGATCTTACTTGTATGTCGACAGGACATTTTCGATATATTTAAATATATTTAATAATTAAGTATATTGCATGTATAATATTTAAATAAGATATGCTGGACTGACTTTTTTCCTTCCTTGTGTACGATTACTTTCAAATATTTTTGTGAAAGACTTTTTTTCCTTGAGGACTTGGAAAATTAGAAATTTTTTTAAGTTATCTTATCTACTAGGCCCTGTCCTATTTGCATGAATTATTTTAACTAAAAATTGTTAAATCGGTTCAGTAGTTCCGGATATTACCCCCTTGCATACAAGCAAACAAACAAACTTCACCTCTTTACAATATTAGTACAGATATTATATTTTATCGCGTTATGTATAAATTGAAAGTAAGTTTAAACTTTTACTTTTTACTCTAAGTGAAAATAAATTTATTCTTGTAACGACATCAATATTTGCATCAATTAAACTTGAAATAGTAGCTTTTGATGGCAATTAACGTAAAGCTCCCATGTATTTTCCATCGACTAGAAACTCCGAAACTTCGGACGTGAATAGAGTTTTCAGAAGGACTATATTTCATTGCGACTGCGATTGGACCTACGAATACTCGCAAGGGGCTCGTTGACTTTCTACAGGCTATTATGGAGTCAGGAACTACCCCACTTAAAAGTCTAGGAGGGTTTGAGTTTCGAACCGTGTAAATTGTGTAAATAAATTAGTCAGACGCGTACCTGACTTTACATTAAACCTTTGTAAACCGTTACATCTTCCAACATAATTGGCCACCATAAGTTTAGCGATTATTTAGAACGATGTAAGGTTAAGGTACAGATAACAGGGTGCGTCGACTTTGTTGAACGGTACAAGTAACAATAAAGCGGAAAATACAATAGAAGAGTTATTTGTAAATATGCTGGTGTCGTTAAAATAAATGTATTAATTAGTTGAGTAACATACATGCAGAACGAAATTGTACGAAGTGCTTTATTGAATATTTTATACGTGCAACCATTTTGTAAAAACATATCAATTATTATTCATTAGAATATCAGGATTCGAATAACCTACTTTCTATTTTCTATAAAAACGACAGTAATTTTGAAAATGAAAACGATGGAATTGTTTTTATTCAATCTTTTTATCGACATGTACATGGTGTTGTTTCCGTAGAAAGTCATAAAAATCTTGTTGAAGAAACTTCTTCGTATCTCCGATAGTTTTCGAGATAGCACCAGAGGCGCGAAAGTTTGGAGGGTAGCTTCATCCCTTAAATTTGAGTTACCACGGCTAAAAAGAAATACGTGTCTCGTATTTTTAGACGGTGTGCAGCCTGCAAAGTTTCATTAAAATCGACGTCGGAGACCTCGCAGAAATAGACACCTCGTAAAAATTTGATAACCTTGTTCAGATGTAATCCTTTTTCTGTCCAAAGGGTGGCATAAATGCCAATCAAGTATGTACCGAATGAAGTATAAATAATACATTGGATATGAAGAAAATTTTACGATGGAAGTTGAACCATTACATATTGCAACGTCCATTTATATTGCACGTCCTGACTTTAAAAAACTGCCAACAGAATATATATAAAAGTATAATTCATACATTAGGTTTCTATTTTAAACCATAACTCAACAACAACAACGTAATGCAATAGAATTAATAGTTCCTGGATAATACAGGCATGTTAACAGTTCGGCTGCCAGTCGGAATCTGACAGTTTGACAGTTACACCTGCAACTGTTCCTACTAAGCATGGCAGGTCCTGCCGCTACTCGACAGGGACCACGGGATGTTTTCGTACAGCAATACGATATACAAGATTATTATTAATAAACATTTGATTAACTTTTAACTTCGATCGCAATTATAAGTTTAACAGTTTCAATTGAAATGATATAATTTGTTATTTGATATTCTATACCGTGACTATGAAACTTGCTACACGTCATCTTTCGAATTCATATCGACGAACTGTCATTGCTAAAATTGTGTTCTCGAAAACAAAACCTCGTACAAAACAATTGCATGTTAAAGTGTACTTGTGACACATGAAGTGTTACTTCTACACAAAAAAAAAAAAAAAAAAAAAAACAATTTATATCAAGTTTCAACCCCCTACTTCACTATTGGGATAGGAACGGACAGTAACGTGTTTTCATTCGATACTTTTTTCATGAAATATTTTTTACATGAAAAATTAAACATGAAATAACAAACAAGTTTCAAGTTTAAATGTTTCGTTTAACTTCAACCAGTGCGACAGCCATGTCTAAATTCAATACGACGCAAAGAGTTAAATATCCATATTTAGTAT